TCTATCCTTACCCCTGCCATCTGTGACACTGATTGTAATTTGTTCCTAACCTATAAATTCTCTTTGTATGGCTGCATCATTCATTCAGATAATTCTCTCTGGACCTTCTCCTTTTCTCTTCTCCTCCCTCTACAAAGCTGCTCCAAAGCTCTTCTATTTGACCATGCTAAGTATTACCTAAGGATTCCCATTGAATCTAAATTCCTAATTCTAGGAATTCATCAACTTGAACTAAAGTTATTGTCCTCCTCCTCAAGTATACCATTTTTCCCAACCAAATTTTGATTTCACAATCCTAAGAGTCATGAGGTCACTCCACATTTTCAAGGACACTACACATTCTTCCCTGCCTCCTCACCTATACATCCATAATGGTGACATGGGACAACTTAGTGTGTAAGGTTTTTGCTCATGGTCACAGATAAAAAATATTATATTATGAACACACAGCCCTGCATCACTAACCCTGTCCCAAATTGCTATGATTTAAACAGTTGAGGAGAATCTACAGTTTATAAAGCTCTTAAGTAATATACAGTCAGACTTAGAAAGTGTTTAAGGGAGGAAAAAAAAAAGTAAAACTCTATCATACTATTTAGGCTATTTATGAATCAACTACTTCATTTAGCAAATACTAATTAAATATCTACCATGTCCAGGCACTGTTTTAGGCACTAGGGGTATAGTAGCGAAGCAAAAAGATGGTTCACTTGCCCTTAAGGAACTCACAATCTAGTTGGAGAAGACAGACAACAAGCCAAGAGACTAAAGAATACACCAGACACTGCTGTCAGTGCTGCACACATATGGATGTATAAATATTCATGTGTGTACATGTGGGACAGCATGTATAGTGTCACCTATGAACAGGCAGACTAGGCTAGTATCAACCCCTTCTCCCAACCAAACCAACTAAGTAACCAATGAAGAAAAAAAAAGATTCAGATGTGACAGCATAATGATTGAAATCATTATGTATTAAGGGAGCTAAAAATCACAAGAGTAAAATCAATTATATCAGCTTTGTTTTGTTTTATTTATTTATTTATTTAATTTTTTTTT